TTAAAAAAAGACAGAGTAATAATAATAATAATAATAATGTCTATTGTATATTATTAAGACAATAGGTAAAATAGAGATATATGTTTGATGTTATATATGTGTGTGTGCATTAGAAAATTATGCTTAACCTCTTTCCTGAGTACTTCTCTCTCTTTCTCTCATATATATATATATATATATATATATATATATATATATATATATATGGAAAAGTAAAGAAAATCTGACATCAGTTATGGTATACTATTTAGGTACTTGAATAGATTTTTTCTTTAATATCTGGGAATGCATAAAAAATATTCCTACTTCCTGACACATATTTCTAGTCTGTTTTCCATTTAGTTATTTTTGTTTTCCTTTTTCTATATTTCTTATGGAGGACTCAATTCGAAAATGATTAATTATGTAATTTTCTGCCATGCAATTCTCTATTTTGTGAAAATACTGACTTCACACCACTTCTTTCTTTCTCTTTCTTTTCTGTCTCATGTTTTTATTATTCTACATTGCCACTTACAATCAAAGCAGGAGACCTTCACAAAAAATAAACGCATACTCACACACAGGTTCATACACCTACCCACATGTATATGCATGTCTATACAGACACTTACAAATACATGCAGGCACAAGCATATACCACAAATACAGTTATCTGCATACATATACAGATATACACATATACGTGCATCATGGTAAATCGGTTGTATCATTATATAACAGAAAAACAAAAAGCTAATGAGGCTCTGAAATTAGATAATCCCTTTTTTTGTTTCAAGCAACACAAGAACTGCCTACAAAGACTGTCACTAGATGACAATTGTTACACCTTGTTTTTTCCGAGTGTCCCATTATATTGTTGAATCAAGTATGGGAAAGTGACAATCAAAGAATACAAAACACTAAAGCACTGATCTTACCATCAATGATGATTGTTTTCAGCATCAAACTTGTTCCTGTTTTACTAGTTAATTATCTGCTTCTTACGACAAAGTACCTTTTATGTACATCTCTCTTTTTTCCTTTTTGCATTCTAAGGACTTTTTTTTTCTCTTTGCGTAATTTTCTTGGCAAATACACCAAAAATAAATAAAAAAAAAAATCTGGCAATTATATCCAAATGTAATGGCATTTCATTGATTTCATGAGACAACAAATTGGTTTTAGCGCAGTTGAGTGGAATAAACCTTTATTACAATTATAAATGTCTCTTTGATTTCTCTTTCCTTTGTACTGACCAACAAAGATTGCTTTGCAAAAAGAAAGGAAATGCTGACAAAAAAGATGAAGACTGTTTCAAAAGATTCCAATAAGCCCCAAACCACCGCCATTAAAAAAATCAGATGAATAAATATATGTTCACTGCAAATATTTCATTGCCAAGATTTTTAAATTTCTCCTGTTCATCTCTAGCTATCTTGGCACAGAGGCTGTGAAGCAATTTGATCATAAAAGTTCAAAATAGGGCAAATAAATGTAACAGTCTAAATATAATCTGCTTGCAATGTTGTTTACGTTTCAGTTTTTACTGGAATTGTATGACATCAAATTGAAATTATTGAAAGCTCTAAGCAGAAAGAATTGGTATTCCTCTTTTATGCATCATGTCTCTTCAGGGTATGGGTGATCATGGCTCTCCACAACTTCCCAATCTTCTTAGTACTAAGCAGTGTTTGTCCCCTTACTATCATTCCCATTCTGCTTTTCATTTACACATACTCATTTGGAAGGTTACTCTCTGCTTTCCTCTATTCCTCTTGTCATCAGTATATTCTATGAGTGTCCAATTTTCCAGGCCTTCTTTTCTCATTATGTTCAGTAAATTTCAACTATCTCTTTATGTATAATTGTCCATTTTGTTTCCATTTAATTTAAAACTTCCTTGTTGCTTATCTGCTCTGTCCATGATATTCTATTGAACCACATCTCTGTTGCCAACATTTCATCTGTGAAGAAACGGTTCAACATTCACTCCTAGGACGATTGACACTACATTGCTGTTCAGCACTCTTTTCTTTGTTTCTAATGAAATTTTCCTGTTTCTTAATATTTTGTTCAGTTTTTTTAAATCATCTTTTGCCATTACAATGTGCCTTATCAATAAATAACTCTTCAGAAATTCTTGATCATTGCATAGAGAAGATCATTCTTCACATACTTTCAAGTGGATGTTACATTAATTATTAGATGAGGGCATAAAAATTCGTTTTTGGAACCAACAATGCACAGTCAGTCCTTAAGCTGAATTCAGTTCCCAGGGTTTGGCAATGTTGCAAGTTGGGGGGGGGGGAAACAACCCCCTCTTCCTTTCAGTATATTCTGTATCAATTTCTCTAAGCCTTCTTTCCTAATTATGTCCCAGTACTTAACATTAATTACTACAATGTTATTTTTTTACAATAATTTTCACTCTGTGCAAGACCCAACAAGCACTTGAGGTAGACAGTTACAAAGAGGCACAGTTTATGTTGATATGTGGAGAAGATAACAGTTAAGACTAGTCTTGAACAGGTTAAGATTGCAGTGATCTGGAAGCATCATCTTGGGAGTCAGTTCATGGGAAGAAGCTGTTCAAGTGGAACTTACATCTCATCAATGGAATACAAAGGGAACAAGCATGGTTCATTACAATGTGCATGATATGGTGGATCTTAGACATAAAGGTAAAACTAGTGGAACTAAGGAATGTAGCCGTCTAAACAATTTCCATAGAAATAGCAACTGAGGCTTGCAAAATTTTGTCTGTGGCAATGGTGTCATAGGGTAGAATATAATTCATCACCCACAAGGGCACAGAGATGCTTTTGAACTCTATTGAGACT